AATGATAAACTAATTTGCTTGAGAAATTTGAGGCAATCAGTTTCCACAGGTTTTCCAAGTAAGTTCAACTCATTACTTTTTACAGTGAAGTTCGAGTGACAACATATTCCAAACAAAATAATGATATCAATGTATCGCTGCAACGTGATCTCATGATAATTCGTATGTATTTTACGTAAAATGTGGTTCTATAAAACGTACATTTACTTACGTTTTTACAGGCACTAAAACGTACAAATACTTACGTATTTTCAGCATTTGAATCCGGCTTAATTTTTCGTTTTTACATTCAGGGATAGAAAACGAATAAACAACTTGAATATTCGATCTCTACATGTGGGCGGGAATGAAACGCCCCTCTCTGCTAATTGGTCAACCAAACATTACAACATAATAATAGTCCTAAAAAAACCTTAATAATAGTCCTCTGCTTCTATTGATTCTTATCATGTTTATTTCTACTACATTTTATCTCTTCATCGAACAGCCAGATTAATGAATGGCTTGACACAAACCATACTGAAGCAGAGCCTTTTGGCCCTAGGCATGCCTGTTTTATTATAGTTATCCACCCATTAAAATATGTGTGGCAAAGCTGCGCGATGCACTGCAGCACGGGGAGAATGTATTGACCACTATCAATTTATGTGAACATACAGTCATAACTTTTGTTTTAGACAATACGCTGCATTTTAGACAAAGGAGGAACTTAAATAATATTACAGATATGAAAATAAATGACTTTGTGTAATTTACCTTCACAGCACATCTATTATTTTTCTATTTTGAGTTTTATTCATAGAGCACTTTATACAAATTTAGGAAATCATCTGTTATTATCCCACTGGCATGGGACTATTTGTTCCTCACAGTGCTTGTTTCAGTGATTGACTTTAGTGAAATGTGAATTTGACGTCATGATTTGAAGGTGAACTCGTTTGAGTTATAAGAACATATCCAAACCCTGAAATAACACTTCGAACAATAAGCCAGTGTCAGCAGTATCAGAAATTAACTTTCACATAAGGGGCGACTGATTTTCAGTTTTTTATTTATTTATTTATTTTATTTTATTTTTTTACCTTTTACCTTTTTTATGTCATTTTTAATGTTAAATTCTTACATTAAATAAATTAGAATAATATGACAATAGGCTGTTACCAATTCAGTATCCATACCAAATCAGTATTCAATGATATAGAACCTGGGTCTGAAGATGCTTTGAAATGTATTTACAGTTTAATGCTGATAAGATGTTGTGCATTTTTGTGCATGCACTGTATGTGCATTTACAAATGTATAATGAAATTAGATTAATGTTTTATACAACATTTTTAATACAGAAATATGAATAAAATGAAATTATACTTGAATTATGAAAGTAATATCGCCACTAGGTGGCTGTAAGTCATTGTGTTAATAAAGGATCCTTTTATTCAATCAATTGGTTCAAAATGCTTAATTCATTCATTTAGGAATAAAATCAAGCGGCTGTCTATAATAATTGGTAATTGAATTGTTGTCTATAATAATGGGTTTTTCAAAAACTGATTCATTTAGGAATGATACACCACTCTATG